GCAAGGCACTAATGCGCACTATGTGTAGCCGAGAGATTTTCACGAAAAAATGCCGGCAACAGCAGATTTTCGACTCAGACCTCAAAGGGGCGTGGCATTATAACCACGTGACATTTACTCCGATCGCCAAAAATTTTATGTTATATTGTAGATTGATCTATATGTTATCCATTCTATGTGTTAGACTTACGATAAAAGTAAAGGAGGGGATACCAGAGAGCTTCAAAGTAGGATGGTACCCCCCCAAAAAAACTGGGTCGAGTCACCTTAAAACTGATAGAAGGAACTATAACTAGGGAGCTTATAAGCGGAAGTTTAGGGTTAAGAATAACAATGACTGACTTGTAAATTTAAAATTGTCCTCTAACATGCTGTAACAAATTAAATCACATCGTCCTTAATGTTCCATCCTGTCTGCAAGAATTTCGAGTTGCTCGTTTGAACATCCGTAAAGCCATTTATCCTCAAGACCTGCTTTCTTGCCGTAAAGAACTCGCCATCGAGTATTCCACATATCCGCGCCAACAAAGCCAAGCAAAAGAGAACGATCCGTTGTGGGATGTATGTCATCCCGCCCATGGCTTACGCGATGATTGTTGAAAATAGCAGCTGTACCTTCCTTGAGCAGAAACCTTGTGTGGTTTGCAGGATCATACAGCTTATGGTGAAGCAGGGTAAATGCCTCGTAGAACTTCTTCATGGTCGAATGATCCTTGAAAGTGCCTAATTCCAAACCGGCGTGTTTGTTAGAGATGTAGACAGTAGGGTGTCGCTTCTCTAGACGATTAAAAGAAATAATTGGCCTTTCCAGGGTGTTGTCGTAGTGGTAGATATAAACCTTGTCTGGATCACACTTCTCTTGAACGGTCATTCTTCTTCTGGAGAAACGCACTGGGATGGTACAGAGAAGCTCATACGCTTCTGGCTCTTCACGGCGCAGCTGCTCAATGACTGCAAGATTATCCACCCAATAGTTGAACGTGTCTTGAACTGGCGCGGAATACTTACTGGCAACCAAGCACGATAACCTGTTAACAGCATCATAGTAAGCAGTGTCTATGTGTACAGGATGCTTTTCGGGAGCATAGATATCTTGGTCGATCTGCTCTGCCTTGGACTTATCCGCTGAAATCTCGAATGTGTCAGTAGGGTGGGTGCGTTGCTTTTGTTGACCCACGCAATGTATAATCCCTTCCAAGCCCTCTTGACTCGGGGGTACTCCCTCGAAAAAAGCCACTCCATACCTGACCAAGTCGGTCAGCCAGCTATCTAGCTTTTCCATCCTCTCGGAATAACTGTAGAAGGGAAATTTGGAGTTTGCATCCCACAGGGTAATCTCATGTTCCTTGCGAAGAGAGTCGTTGTTTTTCATGTCTTGAGCGCGAAGCCACGAGGCATTAAAACTACTACGATGGTCTTCCCATTCAACGGTCACATCTTCGCTTCCTTCCCCGTTTTCAGCTTTAACAATTGGTGATTCGGTAGCTATGAAGCGAGCATAGTCGCTCTGGTTGTAAATCAAACTGTCCGTGAAATATTTTGGGTCCCGGACCGAGGAGCGAAGCCATATGCTGGGAAACGTACTCTTTGCACCATCTTGCCAGGTAATTTTCAGCAGATCTGTGCAGTGAGATAAAGCGGCTATTCGAAAAGGTGCTCGGAGAACAGCAGACATTTCAGTAGCTTTGTAAGTTAGGTCGAGCAAGTGCAAAGTCTGGGACACGCGTTCTGCTTAATTTGCCTTCTGACCTCCCGGGGGGGGGGGTACTGCCATATATGGGCTATATAGGTATGTGCCGCTGTGAAGGGTATGGTTTTCAAGCAGTTTACTCTAGGATAGGGTATATAAATCAGAGCGTTTGGCTCTAGAATAGGGTATCATTTTTCAGGAAACTGATCAGTTGGTTGAAGATTTTATCTAGACTAGGTACA